CAGTCTCAGTGAGGTATGCGCCGTACACGCCTGCCAAGCACAAGGTAGGAAGGGAAAGAGGGAGGGAGGGAGGGAGGGAAGGAGGGAGGGAGGGACAATGCCGTGGCCCCCATCCTCGTCCTCGTCGTGCCCACGTGTTCTCCCTCTCCCTGCGCCCCTCCCTCGCCCTTGTTCGTGACACACACAGGCCTTCCGGTTCCTCACGGACGCGGTGGCCGGCATCGAATTCAAGACCACCATCGTCACAGTGTCGAACGCCAAGCGCCTGCTGCAGGCGCTCTTGATGGTCCTGGGAGTCATTTACTTGGTGCAGCTAAGCAAGGTAAAAAGGCGCGATTCAGGCCTTTGAGGGAGAAAGGGTAGTGTGATGGATGAATTGGGTATGTGGAAACGGGGATATGCGGGCTTTGGACCTCGCGTGAGCCCTATTGGACCCTGCAAATGTCTCGGAGGAGACGAAGCGGGTCTTTGTCCGGTCCTTTTGGATTGATTTACCAACACATGCACTACCGTGGACAGATCGGGCGTGCCCGCTTGTCCTCTCATTGCATACGCGTACATTCATTACACGGGAGAAGGACGTCTTCCATACTCTGGGCATAACAAATCGAATTTTAACCCTATCTGTACAGGAATGTGCTAGCGCGGACTTGATGGGGATGTTACCTTACCAACGAGCATGATGTGGTCCTGGATACCTTTGATCTGGGTGGTGTGGGAATCAGATACAATGTGACACCAGAAGCGACTAGATAATGAGAAACAGTGCCGATGACGAACTTGTGGCAGATATGTAGGAAAAGATTACTCGCGACTGAGGGTGAGGGCATGAGGCAAACAATGCGAATAGAAACAAAGCCGAACATATATAAATGGGAGGTGCGTTTTGGATTAAAAATACCAAGTCTGGTTATTTCTCTGCAAGAATTCTTTCGAGCCAGGTTTCCTTGCCAGGTCATCAGTGAGCTTGTTTTTTGCCTCAAGCCTCTCATCATATATAGCGCGAATTTGTGACGCATTGGCATGAGTCCACCACTTAGAGCCTTGCTAAATCATCAATTTTATGAAAGTACTTCAGTCTGTATCAAGACATTTACTTTTTATATTATTTTATCCCCCGTTGAAGCTCGAGCCAACCTCCCCACCCCCATCGTTCTCCATGAACCGTTACGAGAAAGACCCTCCCGTCATCAATGCCTAGATATATGTGCCCGATACGTCACGTCAGATAACCTACGAGCACCTTCATCGTTACAGTCGAAATCACGCCCGGTGTGTTGTCGCGGGACGGGAGGAAAAGAGAAGAATACAACCGGTCGCGGGGAGGCCGCCTGGAGCTTTTTTTCCTCACAGGCGTTGGGCAGCATTGAAGTAATAGCGAATACCTCAACGCTATTATGGAGGGTACGGGCTCAGCTCCCTGCAATACAACAGACATTGCTTCTACAGCAAAGTCCGCAATTAAGGGCGCGAGGATAGCTGGCGTCAAAACTATACGGGATGCTGATACTCCACCAGAAAACAAAGCGCCTGCTGCTTTTGAGGCGACGATTCTTCGCATAACCTCCGACTTAGCCTTGATTGGCAAAAATTCCCGTAAAGGCAGCACATCAAACGAGACAGATGGCGCTGACTTCGACCAGGGAGAAAATTCGGAAAACGAAGACTCTGGAGCAGCGGAGGGAGTGGAGGACGCCGTCGGCACGGAGTTGCAGAAGATTGTCCCGACCGGGAAGGAGAGTCCGCCCTCTCTCCTCTCTATCATCGACGACTTGCACAGTTGCTTGGGAATCCACTATCCTCCACGTCCTTCCTCCTCCTCCTCCTCCCCTCCTCAATCCACGCCTGTCCTCAAAAAGTTTCAGGTCTCGCCCGGGGCCTATGCAATATACACCTCCCTCACGCAGGTCGCCCTCCTCGCCGCTGATGGCCACGCTGGCGCCTTTCCTCCTCCCTCCAAGCGCGTTCAACCATGCCCGTCTGACCCGTCCTCCTGCCTGCGCCACGCGGCCCGTCTGCTTCACCGAGCTGTCCGTGCCGATCTTTCCAGCTTTCTCTCCTTTTTAAAGGGCAAGCAGGCGGAAGCCCTGAGGAAGCAGGCCCAA